CAAGTCAAGACAACAAGCATTTATTAAATTCCTACTATGTTTCAGGCACTGTGCTAATCTCTGGTGTTAGAAAGAAAGGCAAGGGGCAGCTAGGTAGCGAAGTGGATAGAGGACCAGCCCTGGAGTCAGGATGACCTGAGTTCAAGTCCTGTCTCAGACACTTGACACTAGCTGTGTGACCCTGGGCAAGTCACTTAACCCCATTGCCTAGCCCCCCCCCCAAAAAAAGGCAAAAGACAGTCTCTGCTCTCAGGGGGCTCACAGTTTAAAGGGGGAGATGACATCATGCAAACAACTGTGTACAAACAAGATACAGTCAGGATAAATTGGAGATAATTAACAGAGGAAAGGCACTGGAATTCAGGAGGTTCAGGAAAGGGGGTGGGATTTTAGCTGGGACTTGAAGAAAGCCAGTTCTTGGATAAAGGAAATGAAAAAGGAGGGGTTGCTTTATTACCCTAGAGTCAACATTCCTACTAACTTAATGACAGAATAGTATAATAAAATATGAGAATCTGAACTTCATCTGAACCTAATTTATTATGTCCTATAAGGAACTGGGGATATTTAACCTAGTAAAGAATTAGGGGTATAATGATAACAGCTTTCAAATATTTGAAGAGCTATCAAATGAAAGAGAGTGTAGACTGTGTCAAGAAGTTACAGTGAAGGCAGATTTCAGCTAAATATAAAGAACTCATAGTTGTAATTAGAGCTGTCAAAAACAGAATTAGCAGCCCAGTGAGATATCAATAACTGTCACTGTAGGCATTCAAGGAGAGGTTGTCTGTCTGTAATCTCCCTATGTGGCGTATGTCCCTGGTAAAGGCATGTGTGTTAGGTTGTGTGTCCTGCTGCCTGAGGTCTCAGGAAAGGCGTGGATGATTCTGTATCACAAGGGCACCAACTTCTGTGTTTTCCTTTAATAAACCTTATCTCCCCATGGTAGCAGGACCTTGACAAGGTTTTACCAAGAAAAAAAAAAAGAAAGCAAGAACAATAACCCCCCTTTAAGGTTTGCAAAGGGCTTTGGTTTCTGCCACAGTTCTGTGACATAGGTGGTCTAGTGATTATTCTCACCATTTCACAGCTGAGGAAGCTGGGACAGGGAGGGTTTAAGTAATTTGCCAACAGTCAAAAAGATACCTGGAATGCTGTCTCTTGCTTATTCCTTATAAGCATAGAGGGGCTAAACTTGGAATCAAGAAGAACCAAGGTCAAATCCAGCCTCAGATGCCTACTGGCTAGCTGGGTAACCCTGGGCAGCCTCTGTCTTCCTCAGTTGCCTTATCTATAAAATGGGGATGATAATAGCATCTGCCCCCCCCTCCTGGGGGTTGTTGTGAGGATAAAATGAGATATTTGTAAAGCAGTTTGCAAACCTGAAAGCACTGAATACCAATTATTATGGTTGTTGTTACATGACATGCCCAAGGTCACACAACTAGTAAGGAAAAGAGCCTTTTGGTCATTAGATGTAGGGAGACAGCTTGTATCTGCCTTCATGTATGGCCAGAAATACTGTGAGGGACTCTGGAAAGACTTCTGTGTCCAGAATTGTCTCTTCATTCCTGGGATGCTCTCAGATCCCTCCATTAGGACTTCATTCCTTTGGATTTTCAAAGCTTTTCAGATTTCTGGCGTTTTCTGTGAAAAATACAACTCCCCCTAGGAGGAGTGGCAGAATTCTCCCTATGTGGTCAGTCCCAGTACTGCAAATTCCATAAAAGACCATATTGGAGGAGGCTTTGTGGGAGAGGGTAGCCTTGGGGATTCCTGGGAAGCAGTTACCAACATGCTTGGGTCCCCTTTGGAAGATTTGGGGGTACATGAGCTGCCAGGAGGAGGCTGGGCAGAGAACAATGTCAGACGATCAGTCAACCAATAAGCATCTGCAGTATTATGTGCCTACTATATGCCAGGGAAGGCCCAAGTACAATTTAAAACTACGGCTCCTGCTAGTTTTCCATGCCATCCAAGTCCCTAGCCCCTGTCCTCAAGTGTGGGTGCTTAAGAAGTAAGGAACCAGCGAATGAGGGGGCACTCAGGGCCTTAAGCACAGAACATTTTGCTCTTTGTGGGCTCCTTAGGATTGAGGACGAGTAAGAGGGTCATCACAAACATGATATATGAACAAGAGGGATAGGGGGCAGGGTAGGATTTGAACTCAGGTCTTCCTGACTCTTAAGTCCAAGATTCTATCCATTATGCGACCTAGCTGCCTAGAGATCTAGAGAGGTTAAGTCAGCTTACCCATGGTCACATTCTCAGGAAGGATCAGAGCTAGATATTATGGAAGTTCTTGTAGAGGCCCACACGGGTAGACAATCTCTGAGGTCTTTCCCAATTCTGAGATACTAAGATTCTGTGATTAGGTTGATAGCCATCAACACCCTGTGGTAGCGGTACTTAGGATTAGACGTGGACTAGATGGGCCCAGGTGTGAGGAAAGGGAACCCAAAGGGAAGTAGGAGACCCACAAAGGCATGCTTTCTCCCTATCCTTCTCTTTCCAAAGGCTAGGAGCATTGGGGTTGGATAGAGAGCCACATCCAGGTTTATGAAAGGTGGGACAAGCCCCTCCATCTTCCAACTCCTTTGATCCTACTTTTTCTGGGGCCAAGCCCCAAGACGAACTTCATTCTGTCCCTGCAGAGTATCTAATCGAGGACCTAGCCCTGGGGTACACACCCATTAAGGGGCCACTATGGGCGCAATGATGATCCTGCAAAGTAGCCTGAGGATTGGTCATATGGGTAGGAGTAAAACCAAAAGACAGCAGTGTCAGGAAAACCCAGGGAGAGAAACTATCTCAGAGGAGTGTCAGAAGTGCCAAGAAAAAGTCAAGATGCATGAGAATTAAGAAAAGGCCATTGGATTTAGCAATGAAATGATCACTGTTAATAGAATAATAAAATTTATAGTTGGGAAAGACCTCATAAACCATCTGGCACAACTTCCTGATTTTATAGAAGAAGAACTGAGGTCATCCATAGAGGCTGAGTGACTTGTGACCAGTCACACCAGCTCATAAGTTACAGAGCTAGAATGTGAACACAGGTCCTCTGACTTCAAATCCAGTACACTTTGTACTGTACCCCACTGCCTCTGAGGACCTTCCTCTGAGGGGAAAGCAATTGATTGGTGGAAATAAAATCCTGACCAAAAGAGGTTGCAGAATAACAGAAGGTAAGAAAGAAGAGGTGATGAGTATCAATAGATACCTTTTTCTAAAGGGTTGGCTATATAAAGAAGGTGAGGTACAGGATGGTAATTTGAGGGAATGGTAAGATGAAAGTGAAAGCTTTTTAAGGTTAGGAGAGCTGTGGGCATATTTGGAGTCAGCAAGAAAGGAACCAATGGATAAGGAGAAATTGAAAAGTAGGGAGACACAAGATGGGACTCAAGGGGCAAGCTCCTGGAAGAGACAGAAAGGGATGGGATCAAGGGTACAAATGGAGGAATTGGCCTTGACAAAGAGAAGGATGCCCTCTTCCTCAAGGACTGAAGCAAAGGAGCCCAAAATGAGAAATTACATTGAGATGTGAGGCTCGAATTGGGAAACAGAAATAACTCATATGCTTGCCACCTCCTGACAGAGACATGATGGACTCAAGATGCAGAATGAGACAGATATTTTTTGGAACATGACCAATGTGGGAATTTGTTTTTCTTGACTAGGCACCTTTTTTTTTTTACAAGAGTTTTTCTTTTCTTTTTTCCCAGTCGGGAGGGGCAGAGGGTAAAAAAAAAAAAAAAGGAATGCTTATGAATTGAAAAATGTTTTAAATGGAGAGAAAGGGGAGAAGGGAGAAGAAGAGGAAGAGGAAGACAGAGGGAAGAAGAAAGAGGGAGAGGGAGAGAGAAAGAGGAAAGAAAGAAAAGGGAGGAGAGAGAGCTGACAAATGATGGCCTCAATTTTTTGAGTAAAGTATGAAGCAAGGTTCTCTGCTGAATGGGCCCCAGAACTTATCCATGAGTACCCTATAGTATAGTTAGGTCATAAGATGTGAACATAAAAAGATGACCCCACAATACATGAAGCGTATGAGAAATCCAAATTGATAGGCAAACATTAGAAATTAAAGAAGAAAGAGATCGTGGTTGGATGGACTGGTCAGAGAAGACTGCTCAGGAACTATGGAGAAAAATCAAAGTTTAAAGAGTAAATTTGGGAGACCCTTGCATAAAAGTTTAAGTCATGAGACTAGATTAATTCCATAGCACAGTGAACATAAGCAGCAATTACATCTTGTGACATACCTAAATTTAAGGGATAAAAAGTTAAGTTTTTTAAAAACTTTAAAAGGTTAAGTTTCAAAGGAGAAACCAGTTAAAGAGTAGTCAGAAAAGTAAGAGGAAAACCAGGATCATCATAAAGTCAGCATTTTAAAACTGGAAGAGACCTAAGAAATCATCTAGACTGAGGCTCTCAACCATTTTTTTTTTTTGCCATAGGCCACTTTGGCAATCTGGTAGAGAGAGACTATGAACCCCCTTTCAGAATTATGTCTTTGAATAATTGAGTGAAATGCTAAATTTCAATTAAAGGTTAGTTAGTAAATAAATGAATGAATGAATGAATGAATGAATGATGTCATTTTTTTTCCCATCCAAGTTCATGGACTCCCTGAAATAATGTTGTCATTAGAACCCTTGATCTTATCCAATCTCTTTAAATGAGATAATCAAATAAGATAATATTTATCAAGTGCTTAACACAGTGCCTGGCACACAGTAGGTGCTTCCCCTTCTCCTTCATTTCATAGCTCAGGAAACTAAAGGTGATAGGATTCATCTAAGATTTCACCAAGGAAGAGCCAGAACCAGTTACACATCTGTAACCTCAGTTGTAGATGCTCTCAGTTCTAGACAGGCACCTCTTTCTGTCAAAGCAGATGGTGATGCCTGACGACAGGTGTAAATGCTAGTTCTTCAGCTGTACCATACTATAAATATGCACCAAAGGATTTACCGACATCACTCTCTATCTCCTTCCAGGAAGTCACCAGAAGAAGTGAGAGCTTCCTCTAGTGCCCGATGACCCCTCCCACCTCCTCCTGTCTCCAAGAAGGAACCATGTGTGAGGTCAACAGGACAGCTGATGCTGCTAATAAGCCCCATCTGGTGCCCTTGGTGATGGTTCTGAGCAGCATCTCCCTCGTTACAGTGGGGCTTAACCTCCTGGTACTCTATGCAGTGAGAACAGAGAAGAAACTGCACACTGTGGGCAACCTGTACATCGTCAGCCTCTCCGTAGCTGATCTGATTGTGGGCGCCGCCGTTATGCCCTTGAATATCGTGTACCTCTTTAGGTCCCTAGACCGGCCCCTCTGCCTCTTCTGGCTCTCCATGGACTATGTGGCAAGCACCGCTTCCATCTTTAGTGTCTTTATTCTTTGCATCGACCGCTACCGCTCTGTCCAGCAACCTCTCAAGTACCTACGGTATCGCACGAAGACCAGAGCGATAGTCACTATCTTGTTTACCTGGTTTCTGTCCTCCCTGTGGATCATCCCTATTCTGGGATGGAGAAGCTTTTGGCCAGACACTGACAAGTTCAATGTGACTGCTGGGGACAAGTGTGAGACAGATTTCTACAAGGTCACTTGGTTCAAGGTGATGACTGCCATCATCAACTTCTACCTGCCCACCTTGCTGATGCTCTGGTTCTATTCCAGGATTTACAGGGCTGTCCAGCAGCATTGCCAGCACCGAGAATTCATAAACGCATCCTTCCCATCTTTCTCAGATGGCAACATAAGTCACAAAAAGCACAAGATCTGCCTCCCAAAGCAGGAGAAAGATGACAACCAGGAGACTTTGAAAAAGAAGCCAGAAGATACTCACTATCACATGAGTAACAGCATCCCCACAAAGGTCCGGGACCCAGCAAAGGAGTCACATCCAGAGAAGAAAACCCCTCAAGGTTTTGAACAAGAGGATGAGGCAGTGGTGGTCAAAGACCACTACTTCCCTATTGACATTGTGCAGCCTCAGACTAGGATGGAGGAGACGGGAAGATACATGTCCATACACCAGAACCAACCAGACCCCAGGGAGCTGTCCCCAGCCATTCAATATGCCAGTGAAACATCTGAGGAGACCATATTTGCTGAGGCATTCTCCCACCCAGCAGACTTCAATGCTATCACTGAATCAGCCACAGACATGCCTGCTGAAGGCCAAGCCAAGACCAAAACAACCTTTGGCCTGGATTACCTGACAATGACCTGGAAGAGGCTTCGCTCGCATTCCAGGCAATACATAAAAGGTTTGCATATGAACCGGGAGAGGAAAGCTGCCAAACAGCTGGGCTGCATCATGGCGGCCTTCATTGTCTGCTGGATCCCATACTTCATCTTTTTCATGGTCATTGCTTATTGCACAAAATGCTGCAATGAGCACGTCCAGATGTTCACCATGTGGCTGGGCTACATCAACTCTACCCTGAACCCCCTCATTTACCCCCTCTGCAATGAAAACTTCAAGAAGGCTTTCAAAAAGATTTTCCACATTCGCTCCTAAAGGGAAACTTCAAGGGTGGGGTGTAGAGATGAAAATGACTTCGAAAGAAGAAATAAATGAAGGCAGAAAGACTTCTTGGATTTCCAGAGTACTCAAACTCTCCAAGGTTTCAAGAAGAGGTGCATGACTAGAAGTCTTGGAAATCCCCTATTCCTCATTGGAGGTAGCGCAGATGAGGGGCTGGAATGGAATTGGAGTGTAATTGAAAACAGAGATTTAAAAGTTTACAGTGTTTCAAGCACAGCCCTGGCTGGGCACCTGACCCCTTCAGGGCTTCTAAGGAGTTCCAGGATTTTGACTAGGGCTCTGATATTTGGGAGGTGGATTAAATGCCTTGGTTTCTATGGGATCAAATTGAAGTGGAGAGATGAGCAGAACCCTAGACGAGCCCTGAGATGTACAAAGACAGGCTCAGGGCACGACTGGGATATAACCACACTGAGTGTTAGTTAAAACAAACGTTCCGGAACTTGTATAGCTGCACGACAACTGTTGCTTCACCTGGGAAGGCAACACACATATCCTCCAGAGGCTGCGATTACTCAGACAATTTAGAGACTTCCCTTGGGGAGCTGCTGGATGACCTCTAAGATCCCTTCCAGCTTAGAATCTGTAATCTTCTTTAACTAGTTTACAAGGCACGCAAAAAAAAAAAAATTTTTAGTTAGTGGTGTTATTTTAAAATCGTATGTAACTTTCAATCTTCTCACCCCACACTCACCCCTTCCCCACATAAAATACCAGGATTCCCCAGCTTGGTTCCAGAATTGACTCCAAATAGCTTTTGGGTGTTTCCAAAAATAAAATCTACCCTCTAAGGATAATAATAATAATTGATGACTCTTCAGCATTTTAAAGATTGCAAAGCACTTTACTCATACTATCTCACAACAATTATTTGAGAAAGGTACTAAAGGTATTATTATTCCCTTTTACACCTGAGGAAGCTGAGGTTAAGTGACTTGCTCAGGGTCATGCAACTATAAATGTCAGAAGCAGAATTTGAACTCCAGTCTTCCTGACCTCCAATTCCAGCATGCTATCCCTTCTACCACCCTGATTCTCAAGGAATGAAGATTTGTCAACTTTGAAGGGATCCCAAAGTACCATGGGCTCAGAAGGGCATTCCAGATAAGTCCCCGTGATATATTGAACAATGGTAGTCTCGCTGCAATAGGTGTGTAACCTTCCAAGGAGACTATTTTAACAGGGACAACAATCCCCTTGAGTGTATTAGTGCATCTGTTTTTTTAAAAAAAATCCTATCATATTATACTATATTCCTTTCAGTCAGTCAGTGAGTCAGTAAATGAGCATTATTAAATGCCTATGTGCCAGACACTGTGCTAAGTGCTGGAGGTTCAAAGAAAGGCATATGACAGTTCCCTGCTCACATAGGAAAGATAAAATGCAAATAATGATATAAAAAGAAGCCGTATACAGGATAAATGGGAGATAATCAACAGAGGAAAGGCGCTAAAATCGATGAAGATTGGAAAAGGTTTCCTGTAGAAGGTGAGATTCTAACTGGAACTTAAAAGCAAGCCAGGAGGCAGAGATAAGGAGGGAGAGCATTGCTGGCATAGGGGATGGCCAGAGCCTGGAGCCAAGACATGGTTTTGTAGCAATGCCTCCCACAAAGAAACATAGCATTACAGATTTAGAGCTGAAAAGGACCTGGATTATCTAATCCAACCCCATTATTTTACAGATGAGGAAACTGAGACTCAGATTGGTAAAATGATTTGCCCCATGCCACACTGGTAATAAGCAGTAGAACCCAGATTCAAATCTAAGTCCATCATTCCAGTAAAGCAATGACTACATGCAAGAGTGATAGAGTGGTTAAATCAAATCCAGGTTCTCTCTCTTAATGGCTAGCTACCATTTATATCATGCTTTAAGATCTGCAAAGCAATTTATATGTTATCTCACACAATCCTTAAAAAACAATCCTGCAAGGTTGATGCTGTTATTATCTCATTTTACAGGTGAGGAAACTGAGATTTAGAGAGGTGACTTAACTAAGATCACATTGGTAGTAATTGGCTGAAGCAGGATCTGAATTCAGGACTTCTTGTCTTGAAGTCTGGCACTCCATCCACTATATCATTTAACCTCTTTCAGCCTCTGTTTCTTCATCTGTAAGATGGGGTGAAGATGGGATTGAACTAGATGATCTCCAAAATTCTTTACAGCTCTAAATCTATGATACTATGATTTTTAATTAGAGTTTCTATCAAGGTGCAGAATGGAGTAGTGGATTGAGAATCAGCCTGGCAGTCGGGAAAACTTGGGTTCGAGTCTAGCCCCTGATATATACTGGGTGTGTGAAGCTACGCAAATCACTAAACTTTTCAGTGTCCCAGAAAACAATTTGCTGATCTGCATCAGTGCAATGAGGTTTCCACACTGGCAGCTGCCCATACTGATGATCTCACAGGGCCAGAACACCCCTCTGCCCCTCCCCCCCAAAAAAGCTGCCATCTACATTTAATCTATCATCAGAAAGCTCACATTAGGATGTAATGATATACACTGAAAACAGGAGTCATCTGCAAAATCTGGTGTTTTGTCTTTTGTGCTCATGCTTACGTGCTTATGATGCAGTGCTTGTATGATTTAAATAAGAAGTTTGAGCTGTCACAATGTCCTGTTACAATGCGTATTTATTTATTGATATTTAGTGGAGTCTACCTTGTACTTCTGAGGGACCTCAGATTGCACTGCCAAATGCTACAGGGTTTATGTCTGGTTTCATTTGTCAAGTTCATTTAGAAAAGGAATTATTTTTTATTAAAAAAACAAAAACCTCTCATTCCTTTTCTGTTTGCTTTGTGTCCATCCCCAACTTCCCCCAAAACTGGGAGAGTCTCAGAGCCCTGACACCTTGATCTGGAAGCTACAGTGCGCCATAAAAGTCTCCCTTTCAAGTTGCTGATTCCTAGGATCTTAAAAGCATACAAAAGAAATACATTCATTCAGTCATTGTTCTATTTACTGATTCACTCATTGACCTGTTCATCTGTTCACCAAATAGTTATTAAGTACCTACTGTGTGCAAAGCCCCTGTGTAAGGTCCTGGGAAGATAGGAAGGGCTACAAACAGCAGGTATCCTGCTGTAATCAGCAGGTGTGCTGTAGAACAAGTTTATCTGGGCATTCACTCTTTTTTTACTCCTTCCTCCCAACAGGAAAGAGAAAGAGTTAATTCTTAATAGACTATACATTCTCTTCCCATAGTCTTCTCTTGGAGATCAAAAAGAGTGACCTTCCCTACGGTCTCCACTTTTACCTCATCCCTCTTCTGAAGAAGGAAAATGTACACCTGGCTTTAGTTGCAACATACCTCGGTCATAGACTAAGGATGGATTGGTCCTAGTTCCTCTCTCTCTCTCTCTCTCTCTCTCTCTCTCTCTCTCTCTCTCTCCCCCTCCTACTCTCTGTCTGTCTCTGTTTTTGTCCCTCCCATCCTCCTATTCTCTCCTGTTTTAAGAGCTTATTAATAAAAATTATTAATAAAAATCATCACTATAAGATCATCCCCCATACTGTTGAGGTGTAGATGCTAGGGGTGCTGGGACCCCGAAATCACGATACTTGGATCCCGACCAAATGAATTCAACCGAAGTCTTTTTTCAGCCAAAGACAAGGTTTATTACAGATGAACCATACAGGCCAGACTCTTAAGGAATCTGAACATTAGTGATGCTCGTAAGGACGAGTGGGCATGAGGAAGTCTCAGTGCTTAAATAGGGGCCAGGATCTTATATACAGCCATTTGGGGTGATGGGAGGAGGGGCTAGGAGGATCCTGAAGCTGAGGTGACTAGGGGAGGAGTTTAGGGAGAATCCCAATGGGAGTATCTAGGAGGTTGAATGGGGTCATCCTGGAATAGACAGTGGAGGGCTAGGCTTTATAAGGGTAACAAAGAACTAGAAGATAGGGAAGAAAGAGTAGAAAGAATAGAGTCTGGATGAGATCCTGAATGGGAAATATAACCCAGGGCTATAGACAATAGAGTACTAAGCTTCATAAGGGTATCAAAAGGACATAGGGCCTGGAATAAGGAAGAGCCAGTATAAGAATAAGAGTTAAGGAAAGGCCATTTGTCAGTGGATTATAGCCACAGGCAACCCCTTGAGACTTCTTTGACCAAGTGAGTTCAAAGAAAGTTTAAGGGTTTTCTGGGGCCAGTAGACAAATGGCACCCAAATTCTTTTTGGGGTGAGGGGCAAAGGTCTCAGCTTGAGCCCGTACCCCATCAATACTCTTCATAAAACAGTTAAAGGGGGAGGGCATTTTGAACAGAGATCTAGACCTCTGGCCTGATTAAATTCCATGAATTTCCAGCCATACACTGTTGTCCTCCATTGCCCTTCCCTGGTGCAGAGTAAATATACAGATATTCAGTGCAAAACAGTTATGCTCAATCACAGGGTTTTTTGATTAGACTTTTGAGAAAATTCATGCGAAGTGCCTTCTAGCATCAGGAAGCAAATAGAGACAGTTGGGAGAAAGAGGAGTAAAACTTTTCATAACCTTCCTCAGTTTTTAAAGGAGCAATTGCAATGGGCACCTTCAGTCCAAGTTCTTTGCTCCACTGAGTGGAGGCATTGCTCACAGAGGAGTTCTTGGCATTGGGGTCCACATTGTGAAACGATAGATGGAGTTGCCTCTAGTTTGCCTACTCAAATTAAGTCAAAAAGCCTAATAAGTGCTTACTATGTGCCAGGCACTGTATCAAGACCTAGGACTACAGAGAAACACAAAAACAACCCCTGCCCTCAAGGAGCTTACATTCTAATTGAGGAAACAACATGTAAACAACTATAAGCAAACAAGAAGCAAACAGGATAAACTGGTGATAATGCTCTAACATTACTGGGGACTGGGGAAGTCTTTTTGAAGAAAATGGGATTTTTAGTTGAGACTCAAAGGAAACCAGGAAGAGGGGATGAAGAGAGAGAGAATTCTAGGCATGAGGGGCAGCTAGTGAAAATGCATAGAGTTAGGAAATGGAGTGTCTTGTGTGAGAAAAAGCCAGTGTTCTGGATCATAGAACACATGGAGGGGAGTAAGGTGTAAAAGAAAGGGAAGGGAAGAAGGAAGAAGGTTTTGAAGTATTTTAAAAGCCAAACAGATCATTCTATAGATTTGATCATAGAGGTGATGGAGAGCCCTTGGAGATGATCAGATCTGTGCCGTAGGAAGATCATTCTGATGGCCAAGGAAAGGGTAGGCAGGGAAACCAACCAAAGATAGAAGAAAGCTTTGCAAGGGTCTATTAATGAGGTGATGGGGGCCTGTGCCTCATAGGGCAGTGGCAATGTCACAGGACAGAAGAGGGCATCTACGGTAACAGTGGTGAAGGTACAATGGGCAAGCCTGGGCAATAGACTGGATATGCGAGGAGGTGAGAGAGTGAGGAGACAAGGTTCTGGGCGTGGGTGACTAGGAGAATGGTGGTGTCCCACAAGGTATTAGGGGAGTGTAGAAGAGGGAGAGGGCTATAAGAACACTTACTCAGCTCTATCTCCACTCTCTCTGTACCATCATGTCCATATTCCCTACTCTTTTCTGGAGTGATTCAAAAGCTCCTAATTCAGTGGAATTCTGCCTTCATTCCCAGTCCTCAAGAAAGACCCAGTCTATGCCAGGAAGGGACACGTTGCCCACAGGACTGCAACTCCCAGGATTCCCAGTTAGGGTTTCAAACCCTTTCCCCTGCCCTCAGGGAAATCAGTCTGAGTGCATCAGAATGCCTGGTTACATCAATACATAAGCTATGTGGTTTCTGACCTCACGGAGCTTACAGTCTAATAGAAGAAAAATTGCATATCCAAAAAATTATCACAGGATAAATATATAATAAGTGCATAGAGCTATACAAAAGAAGTGCTGGGAGAATTCAGAGGTGGAAAAACTTCCAACTGGTTGCAGAAATCAAGGAAAGACTTTAGGCAGGATGCAGCATTTGGGCTGGGCCTTGAAGGTGGGAAAAATCTCAGCTGGCAGAGCTAAGGGAAAGGGCATCCTAGTTGTAGGGCACTGCAAAAACAAAGACACAGAGGCCACAAATCAAGAAGCACTTATCAACACCTACCAGGAGCCAGACTCTGTGCTCCAGATACAAATACAAAAGGGGGGCAGTCTCCGTCCTCAGAAATTTACATACATGAACACAGATAAGTAAGTGTAAGTTTGCATATGCACATATAACACACACATATATTACATAATAGCTAACATTTACACAGTGCCTACTATGTGCCAGGAACTGTGCTAAGCACTTTACAAACATTATCTCATTTGACCTTCACAACAACCCTTGGAGATAGGTGCTATTAGTATCCTTGCTTTTCGGGTGAGGAAAATGAGGCAAACAGAGGTGAAATTACTTGTGCAGGGTCATGCAGCTAATAAGTGTCTGAGGCCAGATTTGAATTCAGGTCTTCCTGACTCCAACCTCAGCACCCTATTCACTGTGCCTCCTAGTGGCAACATATATACATACATACATACACACTGTGGTATAGTATATAGATATATACTCTATGATATATATCACATATAAAAAATACATATGCATATACAGTGTATATCATATACGTACAGAATAAATACCCAGCGATCTTTCCCCCCTCCCCTTTCTTTTCAGGGTGACTTTTGGCCCTGACATTCTCTCATTCTATTTCCTTCTGTGGAAGAGGGAGGCTTGGAAAGACTGATTATTTCCAAAGTAGGAATAGGAATGTGTGTGAAAATGTGACTGGCTAGAGCTTCACGACCACTAGGCTTCCAGAGGGCCACTGGGTAAAGCACATCTGACAAGCTGTTCTTTCCTCACCAAAAACGGTGGCCTTGCTTCTGGGCTCAGGCAGGCAGAGGAAACAAGAGTAAAGAAAACTGCTTTGACCCTTGTCTAAAATTAATCTCACACTGTATTCTGGGAAATGAAGAATTTGACCATTTCTGCACAGGGGAGAAAACAGAGCAGGGGTCAGCTGTAGTCAGAGGCCCCCCACGAAGATGCGCCCATTAAACGCAGCCAGAAGCCCTGCACTTCTTCTGCTCAATCAGCCTCTGCCAGTTGATGGGTAGCTGCTGCCCTCCCTAGGGT